CCGTCATTGTTGTTTGGCGGGTCCGGGCTGGGGATTCGAACCCGCCACCTTAGGTGTACGTGGCTGGTGCCTTAGCCGGTTGAGCTATAGGCACCGCACCGAGCCGCAAAAGTGAAATTTTAATATAGAAAACTTGGCTCAAGTACCAGTGCAGTACAATTCATGCTGAGTTGTCCCTTACATTTCCCAAAGCACATTGCATTGACATGAACAAATTATGTTGCATTAAGTGGAAATTCCTCATAGAACACTATCTGGATCCAATGTAACTTTCTAAAAATGGCTTCTTATTGCTTTGCTAAAATGGGGGGAAAATATCAAAAATGGAGGTAGGGAAAGAGAGAGAGTAAACAGTGTGGACATTCAATTGCCCCGCGCCAGGATTTCTGTCAGGCGAATAGATTAGTTGCAACGATGTTCATGGTTAAACGGCCGTCTAGCTCTCGCCCGCCTTGCCTTCACCTTCGGCTGCACCGACAGTCCCTTGGAGGCGCGGCGTGGCTAGAGAGGCTTGGGGAGCATGTGACTGTCCCTTCACTTTAAATGCCTTAACAGCTCTACTTCTAGAAGACACAGGAAGACATTAGAATGTAAATGGCCATGATCCAAAGGAACCAGAGCAGTTGAGAAAACTGTTTATTGGTGGTCTGATCTTTGAAACTACAGATGATAGTTTAAGAGAACATTTTGAGAAATGGGGCACACTCGCAGATTGTGTGGTAATGAAAGATCCCCAAACAAAACGTTCTAGGGGCTTTGGTTTTGTGGCTTACTCTTGTGTGGAAGAGGTGGATGCAGCAATGTGTGCTCGACCACACAAGGTTGATGGGCGTGTTGTGGAACCAAAGAGAGCTGTTTCTAGAGAGGATTCTGTAAAGTCTGGTGCCCATCACAGTGAAGAAAATTTTTGTTGGTGGTATTAAAGAAGATACAGAAGAATATAATTTGAGAGACTACTTTGAAAAGTATGGCAAGATTGAAACCATAGAAGTTATGGAAGACAGGCAGAGTGGAAAAAAGAGAGGATTTGCTTTTGTAACTTTTCATGATCATGATACTGTTGATAAAATTGTTGTTCAGAAATACTACACTATTAATGGGCATAATTGTGAAGTAAAAAAAGCCCTTTCTACACAAGATCTGCAGTCTGCTGGATCACAAAGAGGTCGTGGAGGTGGATCTGGCAACTTTATGGGTCAGGGAGGAAACTTTGGAGGTGGTGGAGGTAATTTTGGCCATGGTGGAAACTTTGGTGGAAGAGGAGGATATGGTGGTGGAGGTGGTGGCAGCAGAGGTAGTTATGGAGGAGGCGATGGTGGATACAATGGATTTGGAGGTGATGGTGGGAACTATGGTGGTGGTCCTGGTTACAGTAGTAGAGGGGGCTATGGTGGTGGTGGACCAGGATATGGAAACCAAGGTGGCGGATATGGTGGTGGAGGAGGATATGATGGTTACAATGAAGGAGGAAATTTTGGAGGTAACTATGGTGGTGGTGGGAACTATAATGATTTTGGAAATTATAGTGGACAACAGCAATCAAATTATGGACCCATGAAAGGGGGCAGTTTTGGTGGAAGAAGCTCGGGCAGTCCATATGATGATGGTTATGGATCTGGTGGTGGAAGTGGTGGATATGGTAGCAGAAGGTTCTAATAACAACAGAAAAGGGCTACAGTTCTTAGCAGGAGAGAGGGCGAGGAGTTGTCAGGAAAGCTGCAGGTTACTTTGAGACAGTTGTCCCAAATGCATTAAAGGAACTGTAAAAATCTGCCACAGAAGGAATGATGATCCATAGTCAGAAAAGTTACTGCAGCTTAAACAGGAAACCCTTCTTGTTCAGGACTGTCATAGCCACAGTTTGCAAAAAGTGCAGCTATTGATTACTGCAATGCAGTGTCAATTTGATGTACATTCCTGAGGTCTTTTATCTGTTGTAGCTTTGTCTTTTTCTTTTTCTTTTCATTACATCAGGTATATTGCCCTGTAAATTGTGGTGGTGGTACCAGGAATAAAAAATTAAGGAATTAAATAAATGGCAGTCTAAATTATGCTCATTCTGGGCGCCACCTGTGGCTCAGTGGGTACGGTGCTGGCCCCATATACCGAGGGTGACGGGTTCAAACCCGGCCCTGGCCAAACTGCAACCAAAAACAGCCGGGTGCTGTGGCGGGCGCCTGTAGTCCCAGCTACTCGGGAGGCTGAGGCAAGAGGATCACCTAAGCCCAGGAG